ATCTGCCTGTGTTAAAATGCTAAAACCCAACCTTCTCCGTGTAAATCAAATTTAAAACAACTTACCTCACCAAAAAACACACGGTCAATTATTAAAGAGGTTCCTATTGTGACCAATCTGCAAAAATGGAAAGTTGGTTGCACTGATATTGGTTGGATTGCTTTTGCACCAGATTCTACGCTTCTCCAAATAGCTGTCAAAACTCCCTGATTCCTAATCCTTTTTGTGATTATCTATACTTGTGGCCACTGGCCATCACCTGGTATCCTTGGCACAATCCCAGATAAAGCTGGAATGGTGTTCGTGGCTTGCCCTCATGAAATCTCTTCTAGTGCTGTTTTGCAACGTATACATTAATTGAAAGGAAGCGTGCTCCTTCTTTCAGCTTTTGCAAAGGATCCTATTTTTGTCCTTGTTTATTGAATCAGATTTTTTGGGTTGTCTGCCTTTGCAGTAGTGAAATTAGTCTTAAAATACAGCTGTGCACAGTCCAAGTTTAAATTCAGAAAGAACTTACCCTACTGGAATGCAGCTGTGTAGGATAAAGTCTGCTTTCCTCTGTTCTTGCAAAAAATGACTGAAGACCAAAGGTATCCACGGGATAACAGCAGTGGGACGAATAATAATTGCAAGTGCTATCAAAGCTAAATATTTGCAGCTAGAATGAGGGAACATAAGAAAAACATACCTTTACCAAAAGACTTGGTCAGTTTTTTTACAGACGGTGAAGTCTCAACAATTTAAATATCATCATGTCTCTGACCAAAGTTTTTCATGCTGCAAATACCTCTTGATTCTCTCAGTGCAAATACTCTTGTATCTTGCAGATACAAGAGAAAAAAAGATAACTTTTCCTTGGAAGGCTTCCAACTACATAACTGCTTTATTTGCAGTGGATTTGCTAACTAGAAGCACATACTTGCTTAAAATAGATAGCTGGTAAGGAAAGTAATCGCTATGAATTCACCTGTATCTGAACCCAAGCAAGCTCTAGCTATCTTTTCCTGAGTTACCACAAATTCCAATCCTTTAAAGTCCACTTTAAAGTTTTCCATAAAGTAGTAATTTGCACAAGGGAACTGGATAATAGTTATTTTAAATACCAGCTCTATCATGGATTCAATTTAGAGGAAATACAACTGCTCTTCCCCCCAGTGATCTAGAGCTCTTGCTACAGGAATCAGGTGATTTTGATTGCCTTACATTTTAAGATAAAAGTTGGCATTTTAAACAGTGTCAGTAGATTAGTGTTATTCCAAGCCAAAAAAATTATCAGTACTGTTAGTAGAAAGCTGCTCACCTGCTCCCCATCTTCGAACCTCTTATTGGATAGTATGAAAGTGCAAAAATGGTAAGAAGAGTTTCCATGGTGTTTGTTAGAGTTCTGGTACAGGAATACCATGTAAACCAGGAACACAGCTGGCAGAAGTACTGAAAATAATGATGAAGAAACTTATGCACAGGGAGAAAAGTTAAATACTGTTGTTTAAATGAAGGTGATAATGCTTGTTCTGGAGATAATGATAAATGACTGTCATTTTGCTGTTGTTCACACTGCAGCAAACAGTGTTTATTAACATGCATAATTGTTTTTAAAAGCTGAGACTCACCACCCACTTGGCTGTTTCTGCATTTTCAAGGTGTCGTGCTAGTGAGTAAAGCTTCACATCAGCAAAAGCTGCCAGCACTGCCTGTGCAAGTCGAGGGACCCAGATCTGTGTCAGCAGAGAGAAAGTTTCACTTGCAAAAAACCTGTTCACTTCCAAGTCTGAAGAGAGGGCTACTGAATTAGTGACTGACTGTTCAGATATGAAAATGGTCAATCAGTGAATATTCACTATAGCTTTTTCCCATTTATTTTAATAGTAAGATCCTTTGGTTAGAGTAGCATTTCTGCTAAAACAAAGGTACAGTTCAACTGAAAGTGTTTAGAAATTAGAAATAAAAATTTTTGCCATTTATCTCTAATGTAATCAAAAGGGGCTGTTTTTAGTGAGCTTAGTAGAAATATGTATTATTAAACACTTCAGAAAACTGAACCACTAATTATGATGCAGTGACAAACAGTATCAGTATGAAATTCAGGGAGAGATGGAGACCAAGAATGATGCTCTGCAGTCACAGGCATGACTGCTGTGATGGGAGACCTATGAAAGCGTTGTTTACTCATATGTAATGCTTCTGTGAGGTCTCTGTGCTCAGACATCTCTAACTGCCGGATTCAAGGCTTTGTCTTTTACCTGGGCAATGATAAACACACACTGAATTTTAAATGCAATGCTTTTAAATTTAATTTCAGTAGCAGATGCACTCACCAGCAGCTGAACATCATCGCGAGCCAGCAGCTGCAAAGCTTTGTAGATGCCTGCAAAGATAAGTGGGTACGAGTAGCTCCTTAAGCCATGTGCCCATTCCCAAGTGAGGTGGCCATAATTGTTAATGTTAAGGACAGACACGCACAACTCCAGTTAAGCTTCATTCGAGCAGCGCTATTCTCAGACCTTCCCGGGTGGAGGCGTCTACCTCTGTGCCTCAGAGCTGCGGGGTCCCAAGCGCTCCTGCCGCGCACAGGCGGTGTGAGGAGCGGGGAGCGGGGAAGGATATTTGAAGACCACGCGATGCGCCACCTCCAGCGCCTGCCAGTACTCGTCCGGAACGAAGCTGGTCTGCACAAGGAAGCAGTTGAGCGTCCGCAGCGCCACCGCGAGAGCCAGCAGCCGCGCCGGCCCGCCCGCAGCGCCTGCAAGGGGAAAGGCTGTCAGTCACGGGTCCCGCTGGGGCCACCGCTCCGCCGCCTCGCCCCGCTTACCTGCTCCCGGCCGCCCGGCGGCTGCGCCGGGGTCGCTGTACAGCACCGACCGCCGCTTGCGGAGCCGCACCGCTTCCTTCCGCCGTGCCCGGTCCAGCAGCCCGCCAGCAGCAGCCATGGGCGGAGCGGGGCTGCGGCAGCTGCGCATGCACCGCCTCCGCACCGCCTCCGCACCGCCGCCACTTCCTTCCGGTCACTCTAGCGAGCGGGAGGCCTCGGCTCTGTGCTCTCCTTGCCTCCAGGTGAGGGGCGCCGGGGCTGCCACGCCGCTGCTTGGGGCCGTGGACCGAAGCGCTACCGGGCCGGGGCTCGCCGCGCTCCCTGCCGCGCTTCCCGCCTCGCTTCTCGCCTCGCCTGTCTCCGCCTGGGGGCGAAGGGCCCGGAGAGGCGTCGCGCGCGCGTGTGTGGATGCCTCAGCGCCGCCTGGCGGCATGTGGGGCCGTCTGCCGCTGCCGCAGGTGGCCCTGGCCGTGGCTCTCGGCGTGGTCAGCGGGCTCTACATCTACCGGCCCATCTTCCAGCCGTCCGGGCCGGAGCAGTCCCCTGACGGCACTGCGGGGTCGCCGGCGGTCGCCGCGCCGGAGAAGAGGCCCTGAGGGACTCGTGTGAGCCGTGCCGCTGCCCTGGCGCCGCTCCCCGGTACCGCCTCCAGCGCAGGCCCGCGCCTCCCGCTGAAGGAAATGGCGCCCACGCCCCCCAGCAACTGGGAGTGTTCGTCGCCTGCAGGGGAGCGGCCCTGCTGCTGCGGGCGGCTTCCTCCGGGCTCGGCCCCGCTCTGAGGCGATCCGCCCTTTGAATGTGTCGCTGCGTACGTGTGCGTTTGGTACCAGTCTATAGGGACGTGAATGTCGAAATACACATAAAATTCTGAGTGTTCAAAGGTATGTCTTCACGTCTAAGTTTAAATAACCGCCGGGGAACTGGAAAAAGAAACTGTTGTTCAGTTACACTTCACGGGGTTCTGGGATTGCCTCTGATCTGATCCTCCAAATGATTTACCTCCTTGTCACAGTTTCAGTTCTTAATACTTCATCTCCTTTGAAAATGCAGTTGTGACTGAAGAAGGAACTGCACCCAGCTTTGGTGTCTTTAGGTGGTACCTGTACACACGCACATACGCACATGTACCACGCACGTATCTTTCATTTCTGACAGAATGAGGTTAGGGTGGCTATTTTGTAGCTAAGGTTGCCTGAAAGGTTGCTCGTGGAGAGGTATTTCGGCGTGTAGCTCAGTAGGACACTGCTCATCTTGCAATAGGTTTGGATCAGTCTGACAACAGAATCTGCAACTCAGACTACTGAGATCAGTAGATATGAGAAGATTTTATAGTCTATCTAAAAAGAAACAAACTGCCGATCTTGGGAGGAACTTCTCTTAGATTATGGTTTTTAACACAGAATCTTGTTTTGGGCAGCATGAGGTAAGAAATCCTGTCCAGGATGTGCTTTCATTTAAAGCCAGGAAAGATGCAACAGCTGTAGGCAGACTTTACAGAAGCTGAGGTGAGAGGGCAGCAGCAGAAGGTGGACTGGGAGGTACAGTTGAGTGTGTGATAAATCCTGTTTGGACACAAGGAAATGTCAGAAGTCTGTGATGAATGGAAACACACAACTGCAGTGGTGACTCCAGCAGCTTCCTCTGTTTACCAGACCAGTACGTATTGAGAAGGCTGTTTTAAAGAAGGTGTAACCGAAGCGCAGGAGGCACTTTCTTTGTAACCGTAATTGCTGGATGGCAGTTGATTTTGAAAAGTCTCAACAAGCGGGATGCCCGAACTGCTGCAGACAGAAAGGGTTACTGCTGCAGCGAGCTGCAGGCTCTGCTTGCCGGGTTCTGGAGACTGCCGGATGTAAAGTGTGTTAATGGAGTCGAGGAGGCGCTTTCCTCTTCCGAGGGCAGGCAGCCAGCAGGTGGCAGGAAGAACTCGCTGGATCCACGGTGAGGGACGGGAGCCTGGCAGCTCCCGTTTTCCTTTCTAAACCTGCTTTTCCTCCTGAGTTTTTATTAGCGGCGCTTGACCTTTCAGAAAAGCGGGGGGAGTGCGGCTGGCGAGCAGCCTCCTTAACGTAAACCGGCCTTGGCGCAAGGCAAGCGGCGTGCAGAGCCGGCCTTGACGCTCAGAGGTAGCTCGCTCCGCTTCCTCGGGGCGGAGGGGCCGGGCCGGGGCGGTGCTGCCGGAGCTGCCCGCGGCCGGGAGGGGCCGTGCTCGCCCTGGGCCTCACGGGAAGTGATGTTGCCTTGACGGAAAAGTCACGCTTGCAGCCCAAAAAAGGGCAGGTGCGGTGGGACGCGGCGCTGCGCAGCCCTGGTGCCCGGCCAGGGGATCAGGTAGGAGGGCGGCGAGCGGAGCGGAGCGCAGGGTCTCGCCGCCCAGTCACCCTCCGTGGGGGCCGCTGCAGGAGGCGCGGGTTGGGGGTGGCTTCAGAGAAACATCGCTGCGAAACGGGTTAATAATGTCGGGATAAGTGGCTCGGGTAGGAAACCCGAAATGCTGGGGGAAAAGGGGGTTTCCCGGCACTGCAGGGCGTGGGGAGCGGGACAGTGTGGCAGGGTCCGGCGGCAGTGGGAACCAGCGGCGTGGGGGTTGGAACAGTGGGCCCTCGTTTGTGATATTAGGGGAAGAAGTCTTAAGCCTCGCCTTTCGGCTGCCCGTGCGAGTGCTTAACTTGGCAACTGCTGCCATGAGCACGGGTGCACCAAGAACCCCTCTGAGGCCGCCGCAGGTAGCAGCTGTGGCACCTGCAAGTTTCCCACGGCTCGAGACGTGCATTTCTGATGTAAAAAAGTGGATAGCAGGTCTGATTTAAAAACCAACAAAGCCTTTTAAAAAGCTGAATTGCTAAGGGAGCTGTGCAAGTGTATTTTATGTGTTTACCCAGAGCTTAAAGCTTGTATTTGAGTGTCAGCAGATCTGTTGCTTCTTTCTGAACACTGCATGTTTTGTCTGACAGAGTCTGCTTGCTGAGAGGGTTCAGGACGTCTCTTCAGCCTGAGTTGCAGTGCTTGGGATAAAGTAACGCTTTGATGATCTTGGATCTAAAGAAAGCTAAATTCATCAGAAATACGTCTTGTTTCTTCTAGCCCTGTAAGTAACTACATTATATTAATATGTAAGTGGTATTTTTAATGGTGCTAGCAAAGCATGAAGGATCACCCAACTTCAATTTTTATCTCTCCTTAGAGATGCATCAGATGTATTTTGAGCTTTCTGATCCTGTGACTCCTCAAACACTTTCCCTAATGATTAGTGCTTATGAGTTTTTCATCAGGATAACACATACACATGTTTGGATATAGGAGTTCTGCTAGGTGTTACTGACAAGCTGATTTTTCTCTATACTTAGAGTTTTTGCTGAAACTCTAGAAAATGTTTATTGATTTCCACACATAAAATGCGTTAGTGGCACTACTCGGTCTATTCTGCCTGCCTTTTCCTGGAAGTTTATTCTTACATAGACTTGTCTTCTCAGCCCTTCTTTTCATAGACTGCTGTTCTATGTGACTGTTTCAAGTATTTTCCAGCCAGGGAAAGGCATAGAATACAATATGCATTTCAAATGCTGATGCATAATTGTAGGAATAGTATTTGTGATGCTAAATGGATGTCTCAAAAGCATGGTTAAAAGGATGGAAAAAAGAACAACGTGTTCCTGTGTTTCTAGTTCAGGGTTCTAGTTTTATGTCTGCTTAATCTCTTTAACAAAGGAGCTCTGGGTGGGGAGAATATGCTACAACTTACACTGTTGTTTTTGCAGCTAATAAAATTTCTCATCTGCAACCAGATATTGAAAACCAGACTGTAAGTTTGTTTTCATGACTATCGTTAAACATGGGAACACATTGTTTTATCACTTGACTACACATTTCCTTTTCTTTCAAAGAGAAGATTGGTCAGACAAAAAAATCTTCAAGTAGCTTTTGGCATTTACAGAAATAAGTATTATGAGCAGTAATCTCTTTGTGTCTTCTTTGGATTCTTGGTTGTTCTGCCAGGTACCTGCTGTGCTAGCATAATGACCATTGGTGAGTCTTTCAGTTTTCAGCATAACCCTGAGCTTGCAGGTCAACGCCTTTACTAAGCACAGTCTTAGTCAGCAGAGGGCTAGTAAAGATTGGATTTAGAAATAGGCAACACTGGCACTAGAGATGGAATATAAAGAATGACAACTCTCCCCTGTTAATGTCTCAGCAAATAATTATAAAAAAGTGCATTTAAAATGTATTAAACTTATGATTTAAATAGTTAATCATCAGATATGTTTTTCTGTAGTAAAGCTGTGTTACTGTACTCAACTGCACATGTGATCAGGTCCTGCAGATAGTCAACTTTGTTCTTCAGTAATTTCAAAAGATTACATATTGATAGGTAAGCACTTGCTGGGCTGGGCATGTTGAGTGCTCAAGGACTTGCTTTCGCTCCTCATGTCTTGCCGATGCCACTCATGGTGGAAATACAGACATGTTTACAGAACTGACTTCACACATGGCATGTTGTCGAAATACAGTGTGGTTTAGCAAGTACTTAACCCAAAGGCAGCTTTTTATAGCAGAAACCCTTTGTTTTTCTTTTCTTCCCCTCCTCCCTTCCCTCCCTCCATCCCCTCCCCCCCTTCCCCCCAGTCTTCCTCTGGGAACAGCATCATTTTCTTTTTGGTCTTAGTCTGAAAACTGCATCCCTGTTAGGAATCAGGGCTAACTTGAACCATGCTAAATTAGCTGAGATCATATCCTTTTATCTCCAGTGGAGGTAAAACTATAGTGAATGAGAAATTCTAGCCCCTGCTTTCTTTCCTGTAACATCCTTTATATTGTTTTGTTTTCACACATAATACAGCAGAACTTACTTTTGATTATTGATCCTGCCCCTCTGCTCTCCTCTCGTGAGACCTCACTTGGAGTATTGTGCACAGTTCTGGTGTCCTCAACATAGAAAGGACATGGAACTGTCGGAACAAGTCCAGAGGAGATCCATGAGGATGATCAGGGGACTGGAGCACCTCCCGTATGAAGATAGGCTGAGAAAGTTGGGGCTGTTCAGCCTGGAGAAGAGAAGGCTGCGTGGAGACCTCCTAGAAGCCTTCCAGTATCTGAAGGGGGGCTATAGGGATGCTGGGGATGGACTCTTCATTAGGGACTATAGTGACAGGACAAGGGGTAACAGGTTCAAACTTCAGCAGGGGAAGTTTAGATTGGATGTAAGGAGGAAGTTCTTTACTGTGAGGGTGGTGAGGCACTGGAATGGCTGCCCAGGGAAGTTGTGAATGCTTCATCCCTGGCAGTCTTGAAGGCCAGGTTGGTCAGAGCCTTGGGTGACATGGTCTAGGATGACATGTCTCTGCCCATGGCAGGGGGCTTGGAACTTGATGATCTTAAGGTCCTTTCCAGCCCTAACTAGTCTATGATTTTATGATTGTAATTAGTAGTCTCAACATCTGTGATTTAGTTTCCAGTCTAGTAAGCTTTGAAGATTAATTTATGCAATATAGATTAAAATATGATATATAACCAGCATTTTTTCCTGTGATGATGTTGTGGCTTCAATGGGTTGAAAATACTGTGATGTATATATGATAGTTTTGGGTACTGGGTGTTGGAATCCTTTTCACGTACTGGCCAACACTTTGGAGTTGACATGACAAGTTCTTCAGTTATTTAAAACTCCTGCAGGGGAAAAAGAAAAGGCAAATATCCTTGATTTTATGGCTCTGAAGATAATATAAAAGTGTAAACCAATACAGTGTTATTTTCCTGAGTTAGCAAACCCATTTCCCATTGCTGTTCCCTTTCTCTGTCTGATACTTTTAGTGATGAGAAATTGGTAAAAAAAAAACATATTAGATAAAGGCACTTCTGGAAGGTGATGGCTGGAAGTAAGGTAGAAGAGTGGCAGAAAGCAATGAAGATAGAAGCTTAGGAGGAGGAGTACAGTTTCTGTGGTTTTCAGTTGAAAAAAAGGAGTTGGTAGATATATGAGCAGTGTTTTTGAATTAAAAGTTAAATTTGTGAGCTCTTGTAAAGTATTTTGAAAATAATTCTATGCTTCTGCAGTGATTTTTGTGTGAAAGAGTTCTGTGAATGAACAGACTGTAAGGATTGTACCCAAGTTGAAATATTTTATATGCAAATAAAACGCCCGATGGGTATAAGGACAGCTGCTGCACAAATCAAGTAGGTGATTCCAGATTAACTTCAGAGTTTGATTTCAGTTTTGCAACTGGCCATATTACTGCTTGTGTGTGCACCTATTGGTTGAAAAGGTGATAAAAGGATAAAGGAATAAATAGCAAAATAGTTAAGCATTGCTCAAAATTCAGGTTTGTTTTTTTTTAATCCTTTCACTTAAGGTGGGTTCTATGGGCAGAAGTAATGCCTTTTATTAGACCAGCTTGTGTTTTTGGAAGGGGTAGGTGAGCTTTCAGGTAGGTGAGCCCCTTTCAGGTTTGAATTAGAAACAACAGAATACAAAACAAAATTGAAAACAATTGATCAAGGATTTTTATAGTACTTCTGTTCATATTAACCCACCAGGCAGCATACATATGTCATTAGAAGGCGATGAAGGCGCTCTCACAGAAGTATTACTGTTCTAAAGGCATTTTCTAATTTAAACATTTCAAAGTGGCAGTGCTGCTCTGCAGGCCTGAAAGTGAGCAGCATGTGCTCTTCAAAGTCAACCAAGTTTCACTTGGAGGACCTATCTCATTATTTCTGTAAGTGTTGGATATTTAATTTAGTCCTCTTGGCTGCTCAGTCAAAGAGCTATGAGGAAAAAGGTTGCTCTGTGAACTGAAAAGGAAGAAAATTCTTTCAATAACATCCTTGGGGAGCAGGATTATTTGAACTAGACTGAAGGTTGCAAGTAATGATAAGGACTAATAAAACATGTATGTTGCGTAGGAGGAAAAGAAAAGTTGAATCTCTTTTTATGATAAAAAAATGCAAGATTTCTGGTTTTGTTGTATGTGTCTGCCAGTTTTGTTAATGTAGTGTTTCAAATTAGTAGCTCCTGAGGAAAATTACGTTCCTCCTGGAAATACCTGTTGCTAATTGCATGACTAGCATGGAGTGTGGTACATTTTGAAAACTTCAGGTTATCACTCAGAGGTAGCAGCCGTGGGAGTTGCCTGTGCTCTGAAACTGTTTATGCAATGTTTGCATGAAAGATGAGAATTGCTGTTATAGTTACCGCCAATGGATGGTGCTTTCCAAGTCTACTTTGAAGTCTAACTACCATTCAGAATTAGAACAAAAACTAGGATAGGGTTTTGTTGTTCTTTAAATTGCAAATATTTATCATAATCCACCCTCCATTTGGTTCCAAACTTTATGCATGACTGAATGGGACCCAAAATACAGGTATCGGGTTAGGTTCTAGCCCTGCTGGTATCATCCATTTGCAACACAGTGTTTCTTACCCAGCACTTCAAGATCCTGGGCACGTAACAGCACATGCTCCACTGACTTTCTCCTCCTAACAGTGATTCAACTTGACAGGTCTTTTCTGCTGGCGCATGAACTGTCTGGCTGTACTTAATTTTTCCATATCCTTTCTTGCATTAGAATGGTGTCAGGATAGACATCTCCTTACAGAGATGGTGCCATCCAAGTTTGAAGACAGTACTGTCTGAATTTGATTATTTCTACTGAATTTGATAGCAAAGCTCCCATAATGTCAATTTGGATAAATGTAGCTGTAAGTTGGTGTTATTAAAGTAGTAGTTTTTTTAATGGTGTTTGGTTGTGAAGTAGAAGAGGTGACTGTAAATCTTTACTTGATAGTTTTCTAGAATTGTTAGTTTGCACAGGACAGGGCCTGAGATCCTGCTGTGTGTTAGCAGAAGCTGAAAGGCAGACTTTGGAAGACCTATAGAAAGAATGTGCTGCAAAAGTAGAATTTGGCTTTCTATTAGGTTTTAAAACAAAACACAAACCCTCCAAATTGGTACTGTTAATAAAGTGAAACTCAACTGATTTTTATTGTTAATTTTTTATTTTTAATAATAATGTACTTAATTTGCTTTTAAATAGAAAATGTCTTTAAATGCAGACTGAGGTAAATGTAAAATTGAATGATTGCCACAGAAT